TTGAAACTTACACTTTCGTGCGTCCCTCCCGGCGTGACGCTGCGCGCTGACGTCACGGGGCTGTAATGGTGGTGTGCCTCGAGATTTTTTTCATGAAACAAGTGTGCCTTTCCCAAAAAAGGTTGGGAAACACTGGCATATCCCATCACTTCCTGCTGATTGTTCTGGACTGCAACAATGTTGTGGCCCTGGAGAAGCATTGTACAACCAGAGTCTATCACTAATGCACTGTATCAAGGACATATTGCAGAATACACCTGCAGTCTGGAGAGGCCCAGAATCATAGATAACATCCTTGGAGTTTGCTTTCTTTTACATATACAGCCCGAAAAATATGCTTTCTTTTCTTTCTTTCTTTTACAGGAAGGTCTGAAAAAGCAAACGAACCTGTTCTCCAAAGATTACTGAGTTCTACAAAGTATTTAAAAAGTTTTAAAAGTGGCAACCCACTAACTAGACTGGTTAAACCCTTGCTTTATAAAATAAAAATAAAAATAGGTCTAATATTTTTAAGCCACCATCACATTCTATGGCAGTGAATTCCATAAGCTAACTATGCACTGCGTGAAATAGTAATTTCTTTTTGTCTGTCCAGATTCAGAACAAACATACAATCAATTTCATTGGATATCCTGGTTTTAGTACAATGAAGAAAAATCCTTCTCTCTCTCCCCCACTCATCATGTTATAAGCCAGTTTCATGATCCTCTCAAAGGTCTTTCTTAATAAACTAAAAGCCATATAAGCTCCATCCTTCTGGTCTAAGCCCAATACCGTTTTAGCTGCTTTTCTTTTGTGAACCATTTCCAGAGGTGAGAAAGCCTTTTTGAGATAAGAGTGAAGGAATCAACAAGTGCGGCTCTGAAAAGGGGACAAGGTTAAAAGACACATTGCAAGCCACCTGTCACGGATGCTTTAGTTGAGATTCCTGCTTTGCAGGGGGTTAGACTAGATGACATTCATGGTCCCTTCCAACTCTACAATTCTATAATTCTACAGACAAATTCCTCAAAAGTGCTTAAGAAACCGCTTCATGCTTTATAATTGACAGGAGAAGCCCTGCTGCATAGGAGCAAACTCCTAGGAGTTTGCCCCTCCCAGCAAAATATCTGAAGGGGCCAGCTCCCACAAAGTTGGTGGCCATTGTCATTCAAGTGGTGTGTGCATGCCATAGCTTGTGATCAATCGTGTGGGGCTGGTATTATCTCTCCCTCCCCACTATACCATTCAAGTTGGCACCCCTGCCCTGTTGGTTGTGCCAGCATTGGCCACTGCCCTGTTGGCACTGATCCATAACAGGATCTTTTCACTAGTAGTTCTGTTTGCGGGTTGGCCTTCACTGGTGAGGTGAATCTGCCTCCCCCATTATTGTTGTTCATTTAATAACATTCCTCTTTATCCAGACTTGATGGTTGAAAGGCACTGTTCCTGGCAAACTTGAAAGTATTAGCAGTGAATGCTTTTCCAATTTTTTAACTGTTCAATAAAAGTCGGCTTTCTAAAAATTGTATTTATTTTCTTAAAAAAATATGTATTTGCCACCCTGAGATCCTTTAAATTTAATAAAAACAAACAATAACAACAATATACCTGAAACCACCATTTATGCATCCTCCTTTCTATTCGGGATAGGGGAGAAAAAAGCTTACCTTCTTTAGTCAGGCAAAGAGAGAGAGAAAGAGAGAGGGAGATTGTAGCTTTCAGGTATCATCCCACTGGAGAGGATTCAACTGCAACTCCAAGTCCCAGCATCCCCAACATGAAAATGATGCTGCACATGCTATTCCCACCAAGGGAGAAGACCCTTAGTGAGCCTCTGCTTCATCGGGAACCATGTGACATAAGCACACTGAGAATGCTGGAATTTGTTGCCCCAGTCCGTTCCCCAGCAGAAAAAGGATGTTCTGTGCATGAGTCTCACAGAGAGGGAAGGCTCCTGGGGGCTCTCTTCACTGTGGGAGTTGCACTCTTCTGGGAACTGGCAAAGGTGGATCTAGAAGAGTAGAGCTTCTGGGGCGCTGCAGCAGGCACCACGGCTATGACATCCAATGGAAGGCCAGAGGTGAGGTGTGCTGGTTTTGGGGGTTGCACAGGACACCACTGAAATCTGAGATACCAAGGTCTGTCACTAGGACTGGGAGAGCTGAACCACTTTTGCCTTCATCCTGCTCTGAGGAACACTGCAGGGACAAGGACAGAAGGTAGCAGCAGATGCAGCTTGCAGGATCAGGGCAAGTTGGACCATACTACACATCTGGCCCTGTTCTCCCTGATCATTCTCTCAAATATTTGATGCAAGGTACTTCAATTTGAAATTGCATACAAGCTTTCCCAAAGGATCTGAATGCCCTTTCTCTCCTTCAGCTTCCCTTTAACCAATTCCCTCTAGTTGAGGGAAATTCCCTGAAATTAAGGATGACTTTGTTGATCTCTCTAGGCCATGTTTACTTTATATGTTGACTTTGTCCATGTTGTGTTCACAGTTGCACATGTCTAGCCAGATTCTGGGCAAAAACAAAAGGTCCTTTACCCTTCTTGCCAACTCTGTGACTAACCATTAAAAAGCATTAAAATATTATCATACAAAGTCAGGTTGTTTCTTTGTCATGATAAGAAGGTGTGTTTGCTTAGTCAATATGGAAATAATTGAAAGCTGCCCATTTTCACAACATCTCTTTTAGCTGTTTCTTTTCATTTTAAGATAGTTCTCTCTGTCTCTCACACACACCCTTTGTCTTCACATCACAACCACCCTGTGAGGTAGGCTTGAGAGACCACGACAAGACCATAATCACTCAGTGAGGTTCACAGCTGACTGGGAATCAGAACCTGGGTCTCCATGGTTGTCTCACCATATGGAAATCCAAGACAGAGTGGTGAGGTAGGAAGAAGGGAAAATAATGGACATAATTATTTTATATGTAGGAGCCTCACGGGGTTCTCTTATTCCCCCACAAGGTTCTTCATCCTAGAGGCAGATTTGCTCGTTGGGGAGGGGGGACACCTAGTCATTTATTTATTGCCTTCCTTTCACCAAATAGTTCTAGGACAGGTTACAAAAATATCACAGTTAAAACAGGTATAAATCATAATTTAAAAATATTTTTTTAAACCCACAAAACTGACCAATAACAAATTTAAAAAAGCAGAAGAGTACAGAAGAGCAATGCAGGAGAAGAGAAGACACTCACTTGAACAAAGGCCTGTATTGACCAATTGTTTTAAAAAGCACTCAGTGATGGTGTCAGGTGCATTATGAGAAGAATGTCATTTCCCAAGCTGGGGGCCAACACAGAGAAGGCCCTTGCATGCACCATCAAACCACAGATGATGCATGAGATCTTATCCTGCAGATCTTATCACCCAAACAGGTTCAACGTGGGAGGAAGGGTTCAGATACCTGGGATCCAAGCCATTTAAAGAATTATATGTCAGTGTTAACACCTTAATTTCCACTTAGCAGTGATTTGGCAACCAATAAAAGTCTTTTAAGACTGTACATCCAGAAGCAGGCTCACTGCTGCATTCTGCCCTAGTTGCAGCTTCGAAACACTCTTAAAGAGCAGCCCCATGTAAAGCCAAATGGCTATTTAGCAGCTTGTCTAGAAAGAGTCTTGCACTCCTTGGATGGAGGCGTTGACCCATCCAGAGATCATTTTTGTCCCTTGGAAGCTCTGGGACCACAGGGATGTCACATAAGCAAGATATCATGTGAAACTATGTGGAAGTAGTAATCTGAACCAACCAACACTCACACTGGCTGATGCCCCTAAGAGCTGCCTGGAATAGGTCAGATTACTCTTAGGCTGCAATCTTATACACACTGGCCTGGGAATGTCCCACTGAACTCAGTGGAGCTGATTTCTGAGCAGACATGTACAGGAATTAGAAAATTATGGTCTTCCTTCTTACCCCTTCCTTACTGCCCCGTATCAATATTTCCCAAGCATTTCTTCATTTTTAATGTAAGCTGCCTAGTGCCATATAGGAGTGAACTTAACTGCAATGTTTATGTAATAAGATCCTGAATTTATAGTTTCACTATTTGTTTTTGTTTCTTAATGGGCATACTGGCAGAAACACACAAAAGTTATTATCTTAACTTGAATTAGCCGTCTTTCTCTTAAAGATGATCAACACCTGCTGCTTAGTTTTGCCCCAGCAAGCAGCTTGTCAATGAAGAGTTAATTTTAGCATCTGCAGCTTCCTGTGTCACACTGAATGTTAGCAGCCTCCTTTCTCAACTATCTAGCAGAGATATGATTAGCAGCTAAAACATACAGTGTTATTATGCCTCTAAGCAATTAGAACAATCCTATAGGAGTCCTATAGGAGAAAATTAACTGAGAGATCTGGGGAAAGGGAGATTCCATGTGTTGTTTCCACAACATTCTACGATGAATTCTCTTTATAGCCACAGACACTGCTAATCAATTAAGAGTACAAAATTTAAGTCCCACTTCTGGATGGGAAACTAATTGCCTTGGGATATATCCTGACTTTCAAGTACTTGCTGGTTTTAGCTCAGCCTCTTCCAGTAGAAGGTTACACATGTCTCAAGAGATACTTCTCAGACTATTTAACTGGACTTCATTGTGGACAAGCAGAGAGGCTATTTATATTCATTAAGAGTTGGCAAATGCCTTATTTCAAACCAGTAGTCCAGACACAAAGACTCCACTCAAAATTGGTTCTGCTATTTTCTGTCTTTAAAGCAGCTTTGGAATTGAAATTATCCATATAAATCTGAGTAACATAGAAATAAGTTGAAATAAATACATTCATAATTAATCTAATAGTCAATGCTAACGGTGTTTTTCAGCTCCCTTATACCCTGAACTTGCTTCTATCCAAAGATAACAAACCAAGACTATGTTTTCAAAAAGCCAAAGGAAATCTGCATAGCATAATCAACATAAAGCAAAATGAATAGCCAGTAGTACACAATCCAGTAAAGCTCAGATGTGACATCATAACACAAAAATCTGGTTTATTCTTACCATTTGAGACTGGCTTCGAGGACAGCCATTGATATCTTCAACCTTTTCATTTGCTGAAGGAAAACAGTGAGGGTTTAAAAAAAAAAGTCAGAGTAAACTATGTGACCACAAGGAAGAAAGTAAACAGACATACAAGAATTTTGTAGATCCTGAACTTTGCTCTAAGCACACTGAAACCCTACACAGTAACAATCTGCCTTGTTAACAGCAGTTCCTTCCCCATGCACAAATCATGCAAAGGGGAAGTGCAAAAGGAGGTTGCTACCAATTCTCCAGCCCCTGCCAAATGACTGCTGACATGAAATCGTCCACAATTGTCTTTGTGGGATCAGGATACAGTTTCAAGGCATCTCAGAAAGTATAAACCACTCCAGCTAATAAAATGCACACATTGGAGACATATGGCTTAATGAAGCATTCATTTTAAACAATGCCAAGTGTGTGAAACAGTTTTCTGGCCCTTAAAAGAATGGTGGAGCAGACACAAACATATCTATCACACACACACACACACACACACACACACACACACATAAAATCTGGGAGAAATTGGAGGCCAAGTCACGGCTCTCTATTTGGTACCCATCTTACAGTTAAGCTGGCTCTACTTCTATATTGCCTTTTCCTTCCTAAGCCAGAAGTCAGATCATGCTGTGGCTCAGAGCACAGATCTTACCAATGATCTGGATGATTTCTGCTAGCAGAACTCCATCGGCAATGTCCTGTTGCAAGTCCTTGATCAGCCGCTTGTGGCCAGATTTTGCTAGATAGTGATTTGCCCAGTCAGTGTATATCTGCAGAATAGAGGGAGTGGGAGAAATGGGGAGAGAAAGAGAGACAATAAAAATTCTTAAGACAAATGTTGGCTTACAGATGAGCAGAGCTCTAAAGTACATTCCAGTTTAAGGAGTCAGAAGAAAAAAACAACCTTTAAAACCTTTTTAAAAATTCTGTCCCCGTGCCATTTTTTTTTAACCATGAATGAATCATTTTATTGCACAATGAAACGCCACAGTCACTGTGACCAAGCAAAAGCCCCTTTAGGAATGCCAAGGAAACTTATGTCAAAATTTACTCTTAGTCTGATCTGATTCACTTCAATATACTTAGACTGAAAACTGTGTTGAGTGGTGCTGTTTTAAGCACTGTGGTGTATTTTCCCTGTGTCATTGTTTAATAGATCGATATATTCCCAGTACCTTCCTGCACTCCAGATGTATATTAATGCAATAAGTTATCATTACCACATGGTCTGTTTAGGCAACCAAGTCATCTTTAAGGAGACCTCCCCAGCTTATCCAGGAGCAAATGAAAAGGAAATGAAGGGCAAATTGTGTTGCATGGTGCACTTGGTACAAATTCATTGGGCTTGTCATTCGCAACCCTGTGGGTGACAATGTTTCTTGTTCACTGGATGCAACAGTCATACAATTGGTTGCTGCGGTGAGACAGTTTCATTTGTCCTGTCACCTTTGCTGAAATGTGCTGAAATGTCCATATAGGGCTGCAAAACCAACACGTATATAGAGGTCACATTGTTGAAAGAACTGCATATATTTTGAAAATATGCTGTGTTGACAGTTAAACCAAAGATGTTAACGGTGGAAGTCAGTTGGCAGGTTGGACAAGAGAGAGACTGAACAGGAAATGACAATGAGTGTCAATAGGTGTATGAGTAAGGGGTGGTCCGGTTTACATTGTGTGCTTAGATTTTCAAAAAGGTTTTGAGTCCAAAGACTGCTGAATAAGGTTATCAGTTTCTGGATATCCCAACTTCACACTTTTTGAACTGGTGGTGCCTGCCAAGGACAGAGATTTTAGAGTCATGGTAGACACTGCAACAAAAAACATTGACCTCCATGGCAGGAGTGAAAACGGTTAAATCTATATCAATAAGAAAGGGGTTGGAAATAAAGCTGCCAACTATTAGACTGGTGGTAAATGAATCTACAGTGAGACTGCACTGGGAATATTGTGCTCAGTTCTGGTATCCACACTTCAAGATGACCATGAGGCTGGAATAACATTTTTCTGGGGGTATTCAAGTATACACAGTACCGGCACCTTTTTTCTAGAAGAACAGCATGGGTTAAAGACACTTATTGTAACAGCTTCAAGGTGAGTACGTCCCGCTTTTTCTAGAAGAAAAGTACTGAATATAGGCAACGTAACAGATAGACAAACAAGCAGAATTTTTTTAAGACCACAGCTGCCACTTCTCCTCTTCTTTCTCAAAATATGGAAAATAATGCGCTGGGGAGGTTATTCTTCTACCATGATTGATAGTTAGCCAAACAAAGGGTTTGCACCTCCAGACTAACTGGACTTTGACAAATTTATATTGCTTGCTTACTTAATGTATATACCACTTCATATTTCAACAGAAACCTCTAAGTGGGCTACAATTTCGAGCAAAAGGAAATTGGTGTAAGAAATAAAATATAAATTCCACTTTCAAAATCCATAATACTGAACTGCGGAAGTTGCACAACTAAAACAAAAACAAAACAAAAAATAATTTAAAAGAATAACCAGTTCAAAGTCTTGTTCTAGATAAGAACCCTTCCTTCAACTGTTTCTCTAATCCTCTTTCAAAGCCAGTGGGCAGCCAATGCATTGGGAACTCAGATTTCTGCCAGCAGGTGGCTCCCACTGAAGTCATGGGGGGGGGCGTGTTGCAGAGAGGAGTTTGGAGTCAGCAGACACAGAAACAGTAGCCACACATTTAACTAATTAACTCAAAAGCACAGTAAATTCTCTAAAGTGGGGTAGTCCCCAGGGAAGGATCTTGCAAGGAAAGAGCAGACAAAGATGAGTGCTCGATACTTCTTTTCTCACCAGCCATTCACACAATGAAGTGATGGGAACTGAATGGAGCAATAAACAAGGAAAGAGGTGTACAAAGTAGCAAAAAGTTCACGTGCCTAATACGTCAGTGCACACATCCTTTTATGCTTCACATATTCATTCCAGACATTTTCTTTTCTTAAAGTGTTTACAATATACAGATTATTTTCAGTTTAAAAAAGCACCTGTTTGCAGTTCTGCAATGCCTCGTGTGCATATTTCTAATGTTTTACTGCTGACTCCCCTTCCCTCTGTCATTTGCATTCCAGATGTGTGGTATTTGTTTAATCTGCATTTTCCATTATGAGCTTCTGTTTTAAAATAGAACTATCACAGCTACAACAGCTGATAATTATCTAATGCTTTTAAGCCGCACAGTTTTATGTTTCAATTTCCAGTTATGCTGTAGGAAGCAACAGGGCAAACCAAAGAGAGAGCATGGCTTTGTACATTCTTCCAGTCAGCTCTTGCACTATTCTATTTTGAAACAAATTCCTTGCAAGCCAGCACATAAATAAACTCAACTCTTCACTCCCACATCCAGCATGCAAACGACATAAAAAGGAAGCAAGTCAGCCATTTATTAGAGTCATTTTGATTTTGACAGGGTGGCAATTCTTGTGAGAATTGTGAGAATCTTGTGAGAGACCATGTCTTGTCAGTAAAAGTAGGGAAGGCATCGTCACAGGCAAAACTTGTTGTCTTGTTTATTTGTTCATTCAGCTTTCAATTATTTTTCGCTATTAGAAAGTTTACACTGACAGACTGTGTCAAGCGTCACATCTAAATGAAAAACATGCAGAGCATTAGTCACTGTGCTCAACTTTGCTAATGCTTCTCAGCAACTGATCCCTGGAACAAACTGCAGCCTTACTCATTTCCTTAAAAAGTTTCCCCTCTTTGCCCACTGTTTTGTTTTTTATATATAAAACAACTGCATTCAACACAAATTGGTTGCACTACATACCAGGAGCTGGAATCATCTGAGCCTTAACAGAACAATCTCAACAAGATGTAAAAGAATAAATTCTGCGTCTGTGTGGTCCCAATGTGTGTGTGAGAAGGACAGCTTAACTGCTTGCAATGTGAAACACTAGACAGGATAGGACAACTTGAGCAAGGAAGCAACTTCCTTGTGTTATTATCTATCTATTCTTCATGTTAGGATTCTTGAAGTACTTGTCATCAGACGAGCAAAGGAAATTATATTATACTTTATAATGCTCAAATATAGATATAAATTTTACACACAGCAAAATTGAACAAGATTTGAAATAACACTTGGGAGGGGGATCCTTGAATGCAAAGAAGCAAAAATGAAAATGAAAAATAGAAGGATCCCAAGCGATGAGCTTTATCTGCCAAAATATGGACAATATCTAGTTTGAGGGCTGCTGCATTAATGCATAGAGCACATATCCCTCTAAATTTATGTGGTGAACCACCCTGAGATCTGTGGATAAAGGGCAGTATAAAAATTTAAATGAATAAATAAACTGTTGATTTCTCAGTTGTTAAAAATGATAATGGGACGCGGGTGGCGCTCTGGGTTAAACCACAGAGCCTAGGGCTTGCCGATCGAAAGGTCGGCGGTTCAAATCTCCATGACGGGGTGAGCTCCCGTTGCTCAGTCCCTGCTCCTGCCAACCTAGCAGTTCGAAAGCACGTCAAAGTGCAAGTAGATAAATAGGTACCGCTCCGGCGGGAAGGTAAACGGCATTTCCATGTGCTGCTCTGGTTTGCCAGAAGCGGCTTAGTCATGCTGGCCACATGACCCGGAAGCTGTACACCAGCTCCCACGGCCAATAAAGCGAGATGAGCACCACAACCTCAGAGTCATCCGCGACTGGACCTAATGGTCAGGGGTCCCTTTACCTTTACCTAAAAGTGATAATGATCTCTTAGAAAGTCATGATGTGATCCAGAGCCTTAGGCAACAAAGAGGATGTACCTGATGAATAATGGACCAGAAACCCTGTTCAGAAGTTGTTTCCATGTGCATAGAGCATTTGCTGGGCTGTCTGAAAGGGAGGCCTGCATTATTCTCATAGTTGCTGCTGTTAAATTTATTAGCCACGCTTCACCAGCAGGTTCCAGAGCGTGTTACAACATTTTAAAATCCAGCAGGAAAAACAGTTAAATTACAAATTGCTGTCACAGGACTGAGCATACAGCTGCATACTCAGAGATAGGCATTCCATGTGGTCTCCAAGTCGATCATGCGAAGTTGCAGACTCCATGCAGCTGTGTGCATTTAAGGGCTTCTGCTAAAGAATGGGGTTTGGGATTGGGACCACTGTGGCCAGAATACTGGGTTCAGGGCTCCTGCTTCCTTCTCTTTGCTTTTAGTGTATGCAGTGAAGACATTTCTCAGGAGGGCTTCTTTCTCACTGGGGTGGGGGAACCTTAAGAGTGTGTGTGTGTGTGTGTGTGTGTGTGTGTGTTTGAGGCTATAGGTTTCGTACTTGTTCCCCATTTGTTTGATGAACTTAATAGCTCAAGATGGTACCAATCACCCCCCTGTAATTGAAAGAAACGATGCAATAGAGATATGCTCAGTATGTACAATAGTAGGCTATATGCAGGGAGAGGTAAATGGTTACAGGCACACCGTACAGCACACAGCACACCAGACAGCATAAAAAAAAACTGTGAGCTTAAATTTGGGTATTAAGCCAATGACAACACAAGAAAACCTCCACACTTTCTGATTTTTACAACAGCATCCATTCTTGGCTAATGCAAGGATAGCTTTCATGAGGCAAACTAGTTTATTGGGCTGTTCCACCGCTGTTCCAACATTGTACAGCCAAGTATAAGCTTCAGCCAGCTTCCAGAGCTACGTGAATACAAGAAAGTTGTTCATTTTCCACAGTGAGCAAAGCTTGGATCTCCTTTCTGTTCCATTAGCATTGGCAGCCAGCGAGAGGCTCGACAGACCTAGCTG